ATTCAAATGATTCATCAAGTTCAAACATACGACCTCAAATATATTATAGCTCCAAAAATAATTCAACTGAATTTATTTGAAATCTTCTTTTCACTTCTGTTAATCCTAAGAAAAATTTAAATAATGACATGAATAGAGAATTTTATTTCCAACAAGAATTTTCGTAGAAAAACAATGATTACTGGTTCGTCAAAGATAGAATTTCTTAAAATCAAAATTTTTCAGCTCCTAGAATTTGCAAATAGAATTCTATTTAAATTATCTAGAATAATACAGCAAATAATTCTCTAACAATTGAAACGTTTTCAAGATCTCTACGACATTTCATCAATCTTATAAAAAATATAAAAAGTCGTTATTTCATATTGAAAACATCGCAGAGAGCTCGAAGATGTTTTATTTCGCTGAGAATTGCTTGATCCATCGTTCTAAATAAATTAAACAGAATTCTATGTACAAATTCTAGAAGTTGAAAATTTTGAGTTTTTGCACAGGTTCTATTCATAATAAACTATCAATCATTTTTATCTTTGAAAAATCTTGTTAGAAATAAAATTTCATAATCAAATCACTATTTAAATTCTTCTTAGCGTTTACGAAAGTGGAAAAACTATTGAAAATAAATCTAATCGAATGATTTTGGGAGGTCACCGCATATACAATATGTTCTAGACAAAATTGAACTTTAGACTAAATTAAACTTACACAGAATTTGTTTTCCAGTCGTAGTCAGAAAAATTTTTGGTGACAGTTTCACGCTTAGTAATACATATACTAGCAAAAAATGCGATCTCATTTTCTAGTAGTATCAATGAGCTGGAGACATCTTGCACGGCCCGCATAACCTCTAATATCCTTTCTCTTGGAGATTCATTACTCGTTTTTAATTCACTACTACTTTGTCTCTTCTGCACGTTTGTGTTCGACAACTGTATCGTTTACGAAAAAAAAAACAACGATTAATTTTACTATCAAAATTGTAACAGCAAGTATTGAAGTTATTGTTACTCAATAATTTTCGGATAAACTTTTACAATACATGAGTCGCGAGAATATGACGTTTTGACACAAGCTTAACACCATCATAAAAGATATTATTTCCGATGAAAAAGCATTGGTCCTGGTTCCAGTCATAGCGGGCTATAGTTGTCTGATAAATGTGTAGGGTGCGCTAGTCATCGAATATAACATAATCGGAAAAGAAAGTATCTCATATCTTCTGAGCGATTATTCAATTCCGATTAGAAAATTTCGTTGAAGAGTATCAAAGTACTGTTTGAGCGGTTCCGAAAATTTTAGACTCAGTGAGTTCTATCTATGAACTAAATTAAATTTGAAAACAAATAAATTTCGATAAAAAAAAATACTATTCAAAAAGCGTAAGCTTAAAAATTCTTTCTTTTATTTTTAGTAGGAACTTGCTAAGACAAACTAGATTTTAATTAACATTGAACTTAAACTTAATATAACTATATTAGATCAGTTCTTTATTCTCATCTTTTTAGTTTTTTTTTAGTTTTGAAATCTTTTAAAAACTTTGTTGAATTTTACCGAAATCTCAACATTGCCTGGCATATATGAATATATTCCTACTTTGAACTTTCACACACACACAGTAAAACTAATCCAAACAAATAAGACGTATGATATATATATTAATTATTTCTTTCTTTCTTTTTTTTTTTTTTATTAAATTTGAGCCTAATGATATAACAGTGTATTACTACTACTATTGTTGATGTTGTTGTTTATTTGTAGTAATATAATTTTTATTCTTGTATTAGGCTTGATGATGCTTAGAAAAAAAACAAATGCTTTAACTAGATCACCAGCCAGTTGTACCACCTGTGACACCAGTTGATGCAGTCCATTCACTGGATTCAACACCAGTTGCAGCAGGTGTTGTACCCCAATTCTCAGCTGCAGATGCACCCCAATTATCTCGATTGCCTGCAAAACTTTCGGAAGCAGGCATCATTGATGGACCATCTTCATAATAATTTGAATCTGATGTAGTTTGTTGTACATCACGATCTTGACCAGTAACACCAACTTGATCTTCTTTTTCAGTCTTTAAACAAAAAAAAACAAAATAATAATTTTACAAAAAAAACTATATAATTTTTTTACTTCTTCTGGATCACGATAGAAAAATAAATCAACCATAACATCCCATGGAGCTTGACGATTAATTTCTCCACGTAATCGAAGTACTTCACGTGTTAAAAACCACCACATAAGACCAATTGATTTATTAGCCTAAAAAAAAGAAAAACAAACATTTTTTCAAAAAGAAAAAATTGATTTTAATAAATTTATATCCTACCTTGTTGTTACATGGAATAGCAATATCAATGTATCGAAGTGGTGTTGATGGATCACAAAAAGCAATAACAGGAATATTGACAAATGAAGCTTCACTAACAGCTTGATGATCAACATGTGGATTAGTAATGATAATAAGACGTGGTTCTTTGAATGCAGCCTGAATTTGATTTGTAAATGAACCAGGTGTAAAACGACCAGCTATTTAAAATAAGAAATAATAATTATTTTATTTAATCATATAAATCTATTCTTAAGTTTTCACTTACCAATAGCTGTTGCACCTGTATATTTGGCAAATTTCAAAACAGCACGTTGACCTAATTGATTATAAATATTAAAGAATGAATTTAAAGAAAAAATTGTTTTACCTTGAGGTTGGCATGAAATTGCACAAACATCAGCTGGATTTTCAACAGCAACAATAGCTCGAGCAGCAAGCATAAGTTTTTCCCAAAATTTACGAACATTAATTACAGATGAACCTTCATTTCTTGGTTTTTTCTTCCATACATATGTGTCCATTTGATAATCAACATCTTTTGAACCAATATGAAGTTGTGCTGCAAGGATTTTAAGCACATCATCTTCTTTCATTTGAAGTACTGAATAACCAGACGTCATCCTTGTTTTCGTTTGATGATCTAAAAGTTCCGAAAAAAAAACACAACGAAGAAATATGATTTACTTATAGTAATAAGAAAAAAAATCTATCTTAAAACGAACGATAGCTTATATATAGAAGAAAAAATAATAATAATAAAAGAATCGTAAACAATTCAGATTGATTACTATTGGAGAACAAATATTCAATATAACATTTATTTTTCTAATACAATTTAAAGAATAAAAATTAGTTAAATATAATATTATTTTAAATTTAAGAATATTTATTAATGAAATACTTGATTTACTAGTTGTATAGATGGCACTAATGTCTTGAAGTCCAACATCAATGAGTCAGAATAAAAGAGAGGTTAATAATATCTTTAGCATGAAATGTATATAACTCTGACTCCAGGCATCTAGCATTGAAGAAAGAGTGTCGTGTTTTTTAGGAAGAATGTAAAGATTTTTCTAAGAGAACACGCAAAAAGATTTTCAGCTCCACTGAGAAAAAACAAATTTTCTTGATTGAAAGATGTCACATACTTCCCTGGTTGGTCGGATCATCATCCCTCTCAGTGTATCGCCTCATTTACATTCAATACAATACTAGCTAAATATTCTAGAGCGTGTTTTTTGTATTCTGATGAAGACTTTCCTCGTTATTTATGATTATAAATTGTTCATCGATGGTAATTAGTGGTCTATAAATATCTGTAGAAAACGTCAAGTTTTGTCATGTGTAATATGATTATAAATAAACAAGTAAAACTAATGAATGCCTGTCGTTTAATATGACATTTTTCAATGCAGAGTCTTACAAACGGAAATGCTTTCACTTAAAGTACCATAATAGCTTTGTTTTTTTTTCTTCGTCCGTTAAAGACTTTTCTCGAAACAATAGTGTCAAAAAAAATAACGAAAGAAGAGATTATAAGATCTTCTTTTCTAAAGATTTACTCCAATAGAATATTCAGTCTGCATTATTTATAGTTACTTTTAAATCTATCAATGACCAATGTAGAATACAAAAACAGTCGGCTTGTGTTTCATGCCTAACCTGAAATGATCATAGTCTTATGCTGATATGAATCTTCTAAAGAACTTCGAACTAATCTGTGTAGTTTACTTTATGAATTGCTCTCGCACATTTGATGCTTTTCAAAAATAAATGGACGCAAAATTTTGAAATTTCTAGGGCCGATAGATTTCCGATAATATAGTAAAAGTTATGATAGAATCAAGAGTTCATAATGCTATTTTTTATGACACAAACAATACAGGAGCCATAAAGGTAAAAAAAAGTCTATTTTTCGCTCCCGTTTCTTGTATGTGCTACGCTCGATCGTGCTCAAATTCTTTTTTCCGGAGATAGACATTATTTCCGCTGTAGAGTTTTATGCTATCAAAATTTTTAACTTCAAACATTTTTTTCAGGAAGTATATACACTTCTTTCTGTGCCATTTGTTAATGAAAATGTCTTGCTGATTAGTCTTTAATGTAATGTGTTTTTTTCATTACTTAAGATATGAAGAATAAAAATACTACTATGTAAGACGAATAAAACAAATATCCAGTACAAGCAGTGTCTAGTTACCCTGCCTCTCTGAGAAAAATTACAGTCTGATAGAAGCAAATCTGTTGAAGAAATGAGGCTGATTCTGTACTTTTCTTTTAGGCAAAACTTTACTCCTGGCAAATCTCGGAATAATATGAAAATTTCTGCTCTTCTCGAAGTTTTCCTTGTTCTAAGAGAGAATTTTCGTGCGAAAATCTATCTAGTAGATACATACCACTCCAGACTTTATAATGATCCGGAGACATTTCCAATGGCAGAAGAGAGATAGAGGTGAGGGATATCCATAAATCTCTCTTAATTGATAGATACGTCACTGCAAGAAGCGTATATGACTAAGATATTTCAGACCTATAAATATTTGAAATCGTTTGTCCAAATAAAGAATTATCTGAAATGAAGTACTTCTATTCAATCATACAAATTTTATTTTTATTTTATAATTAAAAACCAAATATAAATCAAACACAAAAACAAACGAAAAACTTTTCATCAAATTACAAGTTCATTATTCTCAGTCCAATTTTGATCTTTTGCTTTTTTAATAGCATTTGTTAAATGTTTTAACCAAATAAAATAATCATTTTTATCTTGAAAACGTATATATACACGTATCATTGTAATTGATGAATATCTTGAATATGTTGATGCTACTATTAAACATAATTTCGTATTTAACGAATCTTCTTCAATATGAACAACATTTGATAAACAAATACTCGAAATTTGATTCATTTTTGTAAATACTAATTTCGAATCTAATAATTCAATTTGTTTCTAAAAACAAAACAAAAAAATATTTCATCAATAAAAATTCAAAGAAATAAATTTTCAAACTTACTGATTCCCATGGTTCTTTATTTATACGTTGAAGAACAATAATTGATGATATATCTGATTGTAATGTTGTATCTTGTGATGATTCTAATATTGATATTTCATTATAACATAATAAATGAAGAATATTATTCGCTTGTTTTGATAAATATCTTATATCTAAATCAAGATCGATCATTAAAATTTATTTTAATCTTTATCATCTTACTTTGAATTATATTCCAATCTATATCATTCATTAAATCTGTATAATCGATAACAAATAATTGAAATAAATCATTTAATATACAAATATATCGAATAGGTAATAGAATAAATTCTGTTATTTCTTGTATAACTAATTCAATTGGTATCTAAAAAGTGGAAAAAAAAACATTTTTTATAGATTACAAAATATTTAATAATTTTTTTTTAAATATTCACTTGAAGAAAATATGCAATTTTATGACAATATTGTTTTAGTATAGCTTGAACTTCTATACTGCGAGATATATATGTATTATATGAATCGATCATAACATCAAGCTATAAAATAGAAAATTTCGAATACTTCTTTATTTGTAAGTGAATTAATCTTACACATGATTGATAAATTATTGATATTGGTATATTGAATGTATTATCTTCATCAAATAATTTTTCACAATGACGAACAATTGATTGTGATATAGCTGAAATCTAAAAGGAAATATTTTCTATGAAACTTAGTTTTTTTTTCTTATGTTTAAATTTACTTTTTCAATATTTTGAAAAAGATCAACAATTTCATTTGGATGTAAATAACGTCTTAACGGTCGAGAATATTTAATAATATATTGTTTTAAATTTTCATGATATGTTCTTTCAACAACAAGAATTTGTTCAAAACATGTAGAAATTTGTATAGATGATGTTGTTTCCGAAAAGCCACTGTCACATTTTCGATTTGAAATTGATAATATCGTCGCATAAGAAACAGATGATAATAATGAATCATTCGATTTCATTGTTTTCTTATTTAGAGATTTCTATAATAAAAAAAAAGCAAAGAAATCTAATTATAATTGTGGTTTGAATACTCTTTCAAGATTAACTAAGGATGTGCCGAAGAGAAAAAAGTTAAGACGTGTAAGATTGTTTTTGGATCAACAAAACCGATCTTTGCTAGGAAAACATGAAAATTTTCTCAAAGCGAGTGGTGTATAACTCCACAACCTTGAAAATTTCCGTTTTTCTCCAGAAGTTTATTGTTTTTTTCTTGCTCAAAAATCTTCCACTCGACTTCCTGAGTCATCAACCTCCACGGTCAACACATTAGTAAGATTTACTTAGTAACTTACTTGTTGTTTAGAATTTTTCGCAGTTGTACACCAGAATTTCATTTTTTTTTTAATTTACAATATTTTTGGATGAATATGGCAAATGAAATGAACCTACATATAAAGTGTTGAGAATATATAAAATGTATTGAACCAATCATTAGAAGAAATAGAAAGAAGGAAGAAAAAAAATTCGTCTATCTATTTAGTTTAATTTTCTTTTCATTTCTTCAATTAACCAATAGAACAGATCGTATTGATGAAAATAAATTTGTTTTATTAATATAATGATTGAATCTAGAATTTCTATAATAGTTTGTTTGATAAAATTACTGTACACATCTTCTATTTGTTTTCTAGAAGTGAAATCTATTTGTTTTTCTGAACACTTGATAACTTAATAAAACTATATATACTGAAAAGTCTGTATTTATTTGTCGAATATGAGTTTTATGATATTTTATTATAGATAAATTGGAGATCGACTTCGATCATCTAAATGTATTTTTTTTTTGCATTGCATGTATAAAATATTCCTGTTAAGATCATTGACAATAATAAGTACTTATCAATTAAATGACATCACACAAATCTAATCTTGTTCTTGGCATTTTCTTTTTTTTTTTACTTCATGAATAGACGATATTTTCCCAATAGGCATCTTACTCGATCTTAGAAAATGTATAATAATGCCAGAGGAAAGAAGAAAAATCTTGTCTAAAGTAAAATGAGTATGATTAGAAAAAGCATGAGAATGAGAAGTAACGATTAAAAATAACATAATCATCTAGAGACTTTTTTTTTTGTCAAAAAGCTGATTGAGTCACAACAACATAAGTGGAAAAGAACAATATACATTCAATAAAAAAAAAAAAAGATTGCATCAAGGTATAAGTTTATGTCAACAAAAGTAAATACTCGATTTTTTGAAATCTTGTATTCATTTGAAGAATGTATTGATTGAATTATTCATTCATTTATCATTAATATGTAGCTGTTGTCTATATACTGATTCGATCATTAACAAACAATGAATAGTGACTAAATGTTCGTACTCACACTGTCAATGACTATTCATACTTCTAATTTGTGTGTTACATGTTCATGACAAGGTAAATTTATCATCGTTGGAAAGAAACAAAATGATATCGCACATTGAGATAGGTGGAACGATGAGGGAATTCATATGAATGATGTGTTTTGCTCAATGATGTGTATATTTTTGACATGCTCAATTTTGTTATTGTTTAATAGAAAAAAATGACATAGTCAAATAAAAATGAACAATGATTTACATTTCGGATATAATGATTGAATTTCTTTTGATAATTTTTTAAAATCAAGATGAGAAGATTATTTGATTCAGTGTGATCTTCATCTGTCTCGTATTAAGAGTAAATATATCTGATTGGCACATCTACGTACGATAACATAACTATTTACTTAGATTCACTATAGAAAGAAAACATTAGTTTTTTCGAGTTCTTCAATAGATCAACGAAACCCTATACACTAATTAACAGGACATATCAAAGAGTGTGATGATGCGAGTCTTTCATCTCTTAAAAAAAAATTGTCTTACTTACATAAATGATTTTATATTACACGATGATAAAAATCATTCGAATTGAATTGATGGGACAAGCTAAGAGAATTTAAATGCTGTAACATATATATCTTTTTTCTCTTGATTCGAATAACAAAGTTATATGAATAAGATTGAAAAAAAAAAGCATTTAGAAGCAATATAATGACATTTTGATGTGTCTATTGATTTTTATTTTTCTAAATGTTTGCATTCAATATTGCATCAAGTTGTTCAATGATTTTTTTAAGATCATATTTAAATTGACTAAACGATTAAATATTTCATAATGGTTGTTAAATGAACGTATACGTGAAAATGTATATATTAACAAATAAAAATTGAAAGAAGAAAAGTCATATTATGTAATAATAAAAAATGGAACAAAGAATAAAACATCATTTAACTCTTCAAATATCAGTGTCCTCTGAATAAAGGATACTTTTGTAAAATATGTTCTAAAAGGAGTGTTGAAGCATTATGGGTAAAAATTTGCATTCACTCTGCTTTATTCCCTCATAGACTGTGACAGACATTGTTGATAAAGGGTGTAAAATAAGTTTTGACTCTCTCATGCAATATTATTTTCTCACATGTTTCTGTATTGACCGAAACCAATAATTACAATACGCACACCAGACGTCTAGATATTATCTATGCAAGAATTTTAGTTTTTTGCTTATTATTGTTACAGAGATACAAGTGATGTCAAAAGTATAAAAATTTATGAAATCTTTTTGGCGTTTTTATTAGTAATACTCTAAAGGAGATTTATAAATTGAATTTCTTTTCAACAAATAATAAAAAAAAATCATCCATTAAGGTTTATATATTTACTCCTATAGAATCCATGGGTCCTACCCAGAGCCGATCGAATTCGGGTCTAGAAATTCTTGGAACCGATGGATTCTAATCTCTACCTCGATCGATCACTTGCTTTACTTGATTTGGTACTTTTCCATCATTTGCTCGCTTGTTTCTGTTGTAAACATTGTCTATTGTTGTACTACTTGATTTTCAAATTCTAATTTATTACTAAATTGTTCATCTCTCAGTCTTTTCTTAACCCTTTCGGTGCGAGGTTTTAAAAAAAATTAAAATCTCTTTTTTTTCTATATTTTTGATCATAAAGTAATCTGTAGTTCTGGTTTATTAAAAGATCTTTTAAAGAGTTTTTCAAAGTGTGGTACACTTCAAAACAAGGTACAACATATAAACCAACATTACATTGACCACACTCATATCTTGTATCAGTTCTTTTTTTGGACTTGTTGTTGTATTATTGCAGACATGACACCTTCGTCTCTTTGTTTCTGCAAATGTACCTTCCGCTGAATAATCTTGAATAAATTAAGGAGTGTCGAGCAATGAGCCTCAATGGGTTTCCTAAAGATAGTATTCCGTTTTTTTTTATTCTTTTGACTTCCAATAGATTCGACGATGGATCGGATCATTGCCAGTCGAAACTCTGATAGATGCATTGTTTTTCCAGTCTTAAACTTGTATAAAATGAAGGCATCGAGTAAAATAACATCAAGCAGATGAAAATAACAATTTACAAGTATAACACCACCTTAACATGTCCTTTAGACAGAAACATTTCTCATGAGAATCTTAGGTTTTTGCAAATTTTCACATAAGAGTTAATTGTGTTTTATTTATTATGCATTACTGATTATCACAGTAAAAGAATTTATAACTCAAATTACACCAAAAAAAAGTGCCTGAGAAATGTTTTCATGAAAATAGATATCACGTATAATTCTATGAGTGTTAATATACCATGAAATTATTTGTGACACATATTTGCGTCACCCGTAGCCAAAGAGTTAATTGTACCCAGATTTTAAATACAACATGAGAAGCCAAGAAAAAAATGGAGAGGATTTCAATACGAAGATTTATTTCAGCAATTATTCTTAATTTCCTTTGTATAAATATATATCTTGGTGAAATATTCTTATCAAAATAATTGAGCCTTGCTTATGAGAGAGTTTCTCCAAATATTCTCCTCGGATTTCATTGATATGTAGTCTACGACATAATATTCTACTTAAAACTTGAAAAGGATTTGAGTTCTTATTGAAACTTGTTGGAGTTATGAAGTTTTTAATACGTCTATTTACCAGAGATCCCTGTCGGATCTTAGATTTTTGGATAACTCGTGTTTTTAAATTTTATATTGTAACTACTTCTATCTGAAGGTCTCTCAAATAAAAGTAATTTCAAGACAAAATTTAAAAAAAACACGATTGTTCCAAAAATCTGAAAACGGACAGGGTTCGCTGGTAAATAGACATATTAAAAATTCAATAGCTTCGTTTAATCTCAATATGAACGAGAGCATCTCTGGGAGTTCCTTCATTTGTCTAGTCATTTTCAATATTCAACTCTGATTTTTTATCGTTCACTTGTATTAAAATTTTAAAATTAAATTTTATCCAAAACAAATAGTTTCGATTTCATCATCATTGTTGTTGTTGTTGTTCATATAATTATATTCAAGCATAAATAATTTCTTTTATCTTTACTCCTAAGTTTCTTCTTCAGTGACAAGAAAAAATAGCAAACTAACTTCAAAAAAGAAAATTGACCGTATATAATAATAGCAGAAAAAAATACATATTATGTGAAAAAAAAAGATACAGCAATATAGTAAAGAATAGACCAACTGTGAGTATTAACATTTAAAGTTCATTGCAAGAAAACAACAAAGTATTGAAAAGTCTTAGTCATAATGTACGCGTTATATGTATAGATATATATATAATCAATCTTTCTAGATTTGACTAGTAATTTAAATGTTAAGAAAAATTAATGTTCGAAGTCAATTTTGAAGTAATAAATTTGTCGTATTATTAATGGTAAACAATGCTTCTGATATTGAACTTTCAGGCTAGATTTTAAAAAAATAACAGAATAAAAAAAAGATAATTCTATTAATTAATAAAAAAAAAAGAGATAACACTTACTGCACATTTATTTTGTTCATTGATTGTCGACTGTTCAAAATTGTTTAGTTCACCAGATGACATATTTGATTCAAGTAAATCGGGAAAACTACCAAACGACAAATCGGACATCTAAAAAAATCAACAACAAC